ACACCGCCCAGCGTCCTGGCCTTCAAGTGGGCTGACCGCGCCCCTCGGCGATGCTGACACACCCCCACCCAACCAGGCCTTCCCCGCGCGCGCCTGCTCCCCTGGGCTTGGGTCTGGGGGCCAGCACTGCCCACCCCAGGCCACACGCCCCAGTACTGACCCAACACTCTGCGCGCTTACATGACAGCAGACGGGGCCTGTGACCTGCAACCTGCCAGCACAGAGGACTACACGGGACAGAGAACCGGCAGAGCAGTGTCCTGTGCGGGGCAGGGACGCAGGAGCCAGACGCCCCGCCCCCCCGACCGGCCGCGGGCCCTCACAGACAGACATGGAGGAGCCTCAAAGCCACGTCACACACAGGTCCAGGAGCCCACAGACCTGGACCCCTGGGCAATGCCGAGTTCCGCTACTGGAGGGGACGGGGTGCCATCTGCAGCAGGAACTGGGGTGACCTCTGGCTCTGCAGCATAGCCTCCTGCCCCTGGGGATGGGAGACGAAGCCACAGCAGCATAGGAACCCCACAGCCCACGGCACAGAGTCCGGGGGCCCTCCGGGGGGAGCTCAGCATCCCAGCCGGCAATCACAAGGCAGCCTACGGAGGCAGGATGCGGCTCACAGGCCAGCAGGGATCGCAAAGACGCCAGTACAGGCTCAGGGGAGAGGCCAGCAGCAGCTCCCACACAGTCAGAGGCCACTTGGGTGTGAGCACAAGTCCAGACTAGGGCAGGGAGCTGCACACGCGCACGCGGTGGGGACAAACGCGGGGACACATGGTGGGCCAGCCGCCCCAGCGCCCCCCACCACATGGCTCCCGCAGCCAGACAGACAGCACTTCCGCTGCTGACTCAGCCCAGGGCAAGGACTCTGGAAGGACCGTGTCTGCGCTGACCCGGGCCGGCAGGCACCCGCGCCCTCGCGGCCCAGCACGTGACTGAGCAGCAGCCGAGTCCTCGGATGCCTCCTTCCACAGGACCCGCGCCTGCCTCAGGCCACCAGCCCCGGCGCAAACCTGGGGAGCCACAAAGCATGCCAGGACCCAGGGCGCCGGTCAGTCGGGAGACAAGGGGATGCAGGCCAAGGCGGAAGAGCCGCTGGCAGGGAGGGCGGCCCGGCGTCGGGGGGAGGCCGAAAGCTGCCATCTGAGCCGTCTGGACGCGTCAGGCCGGCAGGGAAGGGGCCGCAGCTTCGGCAGCCCCAGGCGGGCGGCGACAGGAATCAAGTGCCCTGTCCAGCACTTCCCACCTGGCCCACCTGCACCAAACCGGGCAGGACTCGGAAGGCAGACACCACGGCCGCCTCTGGCCTACAGACCTGCAGACCCGGCGCCCTGCTGGAGGCCACCGGCTCATGAGGCTCCTGAGCACACGCCCCTGACCAGCAGCAGCTCGGCCCCAGGCGACCTGCCCACTTCAGGGTCCCCAGGACCCGGGCTCTTCCTGAGGCCCTCCCGGCTCCGCCGACTGCAAAGACTGCAGAGCTCCCGACACAGCCCGAGCGCTGAGCTCCACACCCCTGAGCCCGGGCCCTCTCATTCTGCTCGTGTTGCTTAGTTTTCTGTGTGTGATGACGTGTGACATCCTAAAATCACACTCTCCTGGCTGGGGAGAGGCCACGGACTAGCCAATGCCCGTCTTCCGTCTCCTAACCACCCCCCTCCCCGGCACTTCCGCCCGCGAGGCCCACTGTGCCGTGCCCCCGGCTCCAGGACCCGAGAGCGGAGCACACGCTTCTCCCGAGCTCCTCCTGCCTCTTCCTGGGACCCCATCTGACTGCCCGCCCCATAAAGACACCCAAGCGCCTTCCCCGTGGTGGTCCGGCTCACACCACCCGGAGGTGCACTGCTCTCTTTGCTGGGAAGAACGTGGTGCCCTTTCTGGGTGGCCACGCTTTCCGTGTGGTCCGGCATTTTCTACCGAGCCCTCGGACTCAGCGCAAAGGCAAGAGGTAACGGAGTTCTTCCCCGTGGGCACAGACACGAGCCAAGGCCCTAGCTCTGCGGGTGGACCCGCTGACGTGCTAAGGGGCCGCCACTCCGGGGGCTCCCGCGGGACCACAGCGGCTGCTAGGACCCCGTCAGGTCAGGAAGGACGTGCTCACGCAGAGTAAAGAACCGAGAGGACTGGGCTGGGGTCTACGGTCTTCAAGAGGGTCCGGAAGAAGACGGGAGGGGCCCCTGTGCCCTTACAGCTGCCAAACAAGACCCACCGGCTCCTGGCCGATTCCCCGACGTGGAGACCACTGGAGGGCGGCGGCAGCAAGGTCCGGCAGGTCCGGCTGGGGTCCCCGTGATGCTGGTGGGCACGCAACCTCAGCGGCTCTCGCTGCTCAGGGAAGGAGAGACATGGAGGGAGAGGCCACTGTGCCCTGCGGGGAACCCGAGAGAGGCGCTGCTGTCACTCTCACTCCTGGATGGGGCCTCATCTCTCCGAGCTCCGCAGAGGGTCCGGCGCCCAGACCAGCTCCTCCCGTATCATCCACGAGGGGGACACAGTACGCCGGCCCCTCGCAGGCAGGGCAGCGCTGCCTGGCCAGAACGGTGAGAGGCGCCCCGGACCCTCCCAGGCAGGCCACGTGGCACGCCTGCCCGGCAGATGCCACCCTCAGCTGACCCCTAAGTGCAACGGGAGCCCCGATCGCCAGCAGCCACCACTGTGGACTGGCAGCAGCCGAGGCAGGACCAGGCTCTGTCCCACGGCTCCCGCCGCTGCTTGGGGACTCCACAGCACGGACGCCTTCTCCCGCCCTTTGCCCCTGAAGCCAGCCCCTCACAGAGCCCCCACTACAGGCAGGCTGGAGGCGGGCGCAGGACTGGGGTCCCCGGAGCGCCCCACCGACCCCACCGTCTCAGGTCAGGGGGAGCCCAGGTGCGCGCCCATGGACACGGCTGCTGCTGACAGTGGTTCGTCAGCGGCCACGGGAACAAGAGCCACACACAAGCTGCCTCCACCGTACGCCGGGACGGAGCGGGCAGCTGCCCAGGGCGCATCGCCACGGCAACAGGTCTGGCTGGGCTCAGCCGCTCCGCTCCAGCTGGCAGCCACAGACGGGACCGTGAGGAGCACACGACGAGAAGACAGCGTGCGCCAAGTGGTGCCATCTCCCGCCCGCTGCCCGCCCACCCCACGGAGGGCTCAGCCTGTGCGGCCCAGACTGGGGCCGGACCAGTACGCCTGAGCCCGCCCCACGGGCAGGAGGCAAACCGCCGCACAGCCACCACGGAGGCAGGCAGAGCAGGGTAGAGGCCACAGGGTGGCACAGTGTGGGGGTGGGGGGACGTGGGAAGACCGCGTCTGTCCGCTCTCTGAAGGCACAGTCCACACGGTGACTCAGAAACCCCGAAGAGCGACCCTGAACACAGAGCTCTCACCCAACGCCGAGCGAAGGGGGAGAAGCCGTCCACGTGGACAGACGAAGACAGAACAGCTGTCGCTGGTCGACGAAGAGGCCTGAGGGCCTGCGGCCCCCGTGGCCCTGAGGAAGCACAGGGGCTCACACCGCGGCAGGACGCAGCCCGAGCTACATCCCGCTGTGTGGCGGGCGTCCTCCAAGACAGCCGGGGGCCCGTGAGGGACGAACCTGCCCTGGGGGCCACCATAAGGCGTCCCGCAGCTGCAGGCAGACGCGGGAGGGGGCCCTCCCAGAGCGCCCCTTCCTGACTCAGCGCAGAAAATCCTGAAAACGACTGCAGGGGTCCCTGTCCTGGGATGTCCTCTGGCTGCACCTGCACCGACGCCCCTTCCTCCGCTAAGGCCTCCTCGATTTACCCTCTCGTCTGTGCCCTTGGAAGCCTACAGGATCAGCCTCCATGCTAAGATGCCAGAGAAGCCGCAGTTCCACGGCCCCGTGGAGTCTCCTCTCACAGAGGCTCCCCCCGGGCGATACCCTCTTCCTCTCGTCTGTCTTCTGTTGGTCACTGAGCTCCCGGCTGAGAACGCAGAGCCGGCTCCCCTACAGGCTTCAACGTACCGAGAAGCCACGGAGATCGGGATGGCCCATCTGCCCGGGAAACAGCAACAACCACACGGCACGGCGCGCGTAACCCCAGGCTAAGGGCTTGACACAAGCCACAGCTGCGAAACTACAGCTCACGAGCCCAGAGAAAGGCGACAAGCAGGAGACGGAACCCGGACGCTATGAAGACCTGGAAGCCACGCCGTTACCCAACACGAGGAGAGTTCCGAAACGCGCGCGTGGACGGACTGAGTACCGCGGGGCCCCAGAGACCAGCGCCGACCGCGGCACGGCACAGACTTGCAACTCTCAAGACCGAAAGGCAGAGCAGGACTCCCTCCGGCAAGGTGAAAAGACAGCGGATCCCAGCAGAGCAGGGTCTCGGGGCTGCGCAGACGGCCCTGCCCTGCACGGGTTCACACGCCGCCATCGCCCAACTGCCCCACTGTGCGTGTGCCGTCCCCGGGGCAGCGGGGACACCTCCCTCCAGGTGGCGGCGGTGGCAGCGTGCCCTGTCCAGGCCAGAGCCCACCGCGCCCAAGGGCTGCGACCAGCAGCAGCCCGTCAGAAAAGCACCCGGCGAAGTCCCGCATGGGGAAGCACGCGGGGAACATGACCTGCCCCACACCGGACGGCACGGAAAGATACAGTCGGGCAGGAGCTGGGACGGGACGGGCGTCCCCGAGCGCAGCGATGTCTACAAAGACGTTTTCAGGACGTCACGACGACGTGCGCACCGTGTGCGTACCTGACGATAAAGAACAAGTACTCGCTGATCCACGTACTAAACGCGTGTGTTTGCACAGCCCTGCCAACACGCGTCAAAAGAGCCTGGGAGTGAAACAGTGCGCTCCAGCGTGCGGCGGAAGAGAGATGCGTACACGGGTATCTTTACGCCGCTCTTTCTACTTTAGTTCAGCTTAAAACGCTGCCATTCTGAAAACACGCACAGGTTAGCTGACCTTACCCTGGCCCACACGTGAGTGTCTCAGACGTGGCCTGGGACCAGGCTCTGAACGCCCAGGCCTCAGCCCCGCATGCTCACCTCTCCTGATGGAAGCAACACTCCTCGCGTCCGGGTCCAGCTTCTGCACCAAGGCGCTGGGGTCTATCTTCGTCCCGGCGAAAATATCGGTGCTTGTGAAAGCCCATTCCTAAGAAGGAAAGAAACCCTAAGATCTCTCCACGGCTCCAGAGTACACACGAGGCTGGTCACACCGCAGGGAGAGCCCCCAGTGGGGTCTCCCAATGGGCCGGGCCAGGCCAGCTCCTCCACGGAGAGCCTAGGGGAGGGAACCCTCGCCCCCCAGAGCTGAGCCCTGGGCCCCGGGCCCCTAAGGCAGCACTCCCTCCCACCAGCCTCAAACGGGCTTTGTTCCTGCTCTGGGGACCCTCGTAGCACGGGCTCTGGATGGGTACGGGCTGTGAACGGAAGGTCAACATTCAGAAGCACCGTGACAGGAGCCAGCTCTCCTCCGGAACCCGCACCACCTTCTCCCCACGGCACTCTCCCGTTTGGTGACCACCGTCCCGCCTCGGCCGTCTCTCCCCAGGCCTGCTTCCCACCACGGTCAGCCCACAGGGAAACTCCAAAACCCTCCCAGTCCCTCCACGCACACGGTGCTGAGCCAGAGCCCTCCTCCCAGGCTCCCCCTCCCCCAGCTCATTCCAGGACAGGCATGGGGGTGGGGGGGCAGCGTGGACCCCCAGGGGAGTCACAGACCAAGACAGGCCTGTGGTGAGCACAAACCAGCCTGAGCGCCAAGGTGCAGGGCTGGCCTGCGGCCCAGAGCTGGCGCCTCAGGAGCTCCGGGCGGGAGGGGAGGTCAGTGCGCAGGAGACGTCGGAGAACCCACAGGGACAGAGCTGGGGCCTGGGAGGCAGCTAGAAGGCCGCGCAGCAGGTGAGGTCCAGCCTGCTGACCCGGGGGCCCGTGGTGGCGCACAGCCAAGACTCCCTTTTTCCCACGCGGCCATCCGGACACCGTCACAGGGGAGCTCCGCGCTCACAGCCTCAGGGGTCCGGAACTTCCCGTAGCGGGCGTGGGCTACACTGCTGGTGTCCTTCCGGGCCTGCGGTGCCGCCCAGTGACTGGAGACGGCGTGCTCCCCAACGGAGCAGCCCCTGTAGCTGCGTCTCCACAGGCCCACGGCCGCCCTCCTCTCCCGGTCTTCTCGGCCCCTCCTCTTGCACACTCCAGAGCCCGCACCCACAGTCTCCACGTGACAGCTCAACGCTCTGCCGCGGCGTCCGGCTCCAGCCCACGGCGGCTCCGGGGGCGGCTCCTTCCCAGCTGGCTGCGGTCGGGATCAGCAGGACTCTGTCCGCGCGGGGCCCCTCCGGGCCTGGCCAGCACCGGATGGGGATGGAGCCGCGGCTGCAGGGGCGCCACCTCCGGCTCAGGTCACGGGCTCCCTGCTCGGCGGGGAGCCTGCTTGTCCCCCTCCCGCCGTGTGTCTGTCAGGCACGTAAGCAAGACGGGGGCAGAGAGCGCGACCACCGCCTCCCGCAAACCATCCGCCGGGGACGCTCACCGACGCGTCGGAGCCCCGGACCCGCGGCTTGGGCCAGGCCGCGCTGGACCCCGCCCCTCACAGAACCCCCCCGGGAAAGGCCGCGGCGGCCAACGACCCCCCCCCCCCCACGAGCGCCGGCTCCAGTCCGAGGAGAGCCAGAGGCCGGGACCCCGCCCGCCCCCACCTGCTGCAGGGGACGCTGAGAGCCGCCCCCTCCCCGTCATCGCGGCTCCGACCGGCGGGCGAGCGGGGAGAGCAGGGGCCGCCCCGCGGGCTTCTGTGGCGGTGACGGACCGTCTGCCGGCCCCGAGCGCTGACCCCGACGCCCCGGCGCGCGACCTCCGGCCCGTACCGCGAGCGCCCCGAGGGCCAGGCCGTGGGCAGGACCCCGCTGGCCGGACGCTGCCGCGTGCGGCGGGGCTGGGGCGCGGGTGGCCGGGTCACTGGACGCTCGTTCACCCGGCGCCGCCCGGTGTTCCCCCCAGAGACCGCGCGGCTCGCAGGCGTCCCAGCGCCCGCCGCCCGCGCCCCAGCCCCGCGCGCCGAGCAGCCCGCGGCCTCCCACGTCCTGGGCTCGGACCGCGCTGCGGGGCCGTGCGGAGCCGTGCGGGGCCGCGGCCGGCGTCCGCCCCGGCGAGGCGCGCCGACCCCGCCGAGCCCCCGGCCCCGAAAGCGGCAGGCGGAGCGCGTCCGCGAACACCCGGCCCCGCACGGCCCCGCCCCGACCCCGACCCCGACCCCGCGCGGCCCCACGCCACGGGCGCCCACTGCGCCGCCGCTCACCTTCGCGCCGACCCCGCCGGCCGCCGCCTGCGCAGGGGCCGCCTCCCGGGCCGGGGGCGCGGGGCCGCACAGGGCCTGCCCCGCCGGCCTCACCGCCGCCTGGTGCACGCGGGCCCGCAGCCCCCTCACCTTCCCCATGCCCCCGCCAGCCCCGCCGGCCGCCGGAAGCCGGGACAGCGCGCCGCCCCACCGGCCGGAAGCTGGTCCTCCGCGCGGGCGGCCCGGCCGGAAACAGGAGCCGGGCGGCCTGGATCCGCGCTCCTCCCGCGCACGTGCGCGGACGGGGGCGGGGCTAGGACGCGCGGCCCCGCCCCCACCGCCTCTGCGGTCCTGCGATCTGGGGTAGCCACGGAGCAGGTGCGCCGCGGACCAAACCTGCTGGAAATACAGCAGCGTGTCAGCCCCACGGCCTCGTGCCTTTCAGAAACGCGCCGGGGGAGAGCAGGACTCCGAGGCCGGGGCCGTGCGGGCCTGTATGTGCTGACAAGCGGAGTCCGGTCTGCGGGGGTCCCCCGGACACCAAGGGGGACCCCAACAACCCGTGGTCCACCCGGCGCGTCTGCTTTCATCCGCCCTGACCGGACAATTACACCGTCTCACTCACTCCTCCGAATGGCTCCTGGAAACTGGCGCAACCCGCCCCTTCCCACCCCACCTCCCCCAGCCCCGGTGAAGCGCGGCAGGGTCGCAGGCTGGAGAGCCCCGCTCGTCGGACAGCCCCGGTTTGCTCTCCGTGCTCCGGGCTCCAGGGCATGCGGCCCGGACGGCTGCGTTCAGGAGAGCAACCTGGGGGTGACTCCCATCCCCAGGGACCCTGTTGTGCTGCTGGGGACACAAGGCTGATGAGTCCAGAACAAAGTTCAGCACAAAAAGGGCTGCGATGGGGGCCACACGGGAGCCCAGACAGCCAGGACACTAGCCACACCGTGTCCACCCCCCCCCCCACAGTGGGAGTCAGCATCCACAGCTCAACCATGGCCGGAGCCCGGTGGAAGTCCACGCGCACAGATGAGTTTGGGAAAGGAGGAGCCAGCTGCTGGCAGGGCCGGGGGCCGCTACTCAGGAGGGACACAGAGGTGCTCCCCAGCAGGACACTGGACAGATGACCACATCAGCTGCTTAAGGCCAAGGTGATGGGGTCTGTGATTGACTCAAGGCCACGTAAGGGGCCGGAATTTGTGTCCGTTTATATATTCAAGGCTTTACTGAGCATACAGTGTGCTAGAAGAGGCAGGACTATGGCACGTGGGCACGTCCTACTTGGGGGGAGAGCAGGTCCCTTCAGGGTGTCTTTGGCCAGGCTGTGCAGGAGCCGATCGGTCCCGTTCCAGAATGGCCCAACAGGGAACCAGGCGGTTCATAGGTGCAGAACCAGACCTGAACGTACAGGGGTGACTTCACAGCATGGACCTGGGCTGAAGCCAGAGAAATGTCCTGGGAAGAAACCCCAGAGACCCTCTCAGGCTTGACATCCCTGCGCTGTAAGAGCTGCCAGCGTGGGGCTCTGCTCGGTATCTGCCAGCCCAGGTCGGTGGAAAGGAGAGACCGGCTGCCTCTGGTGAGGACCTCCTGCGAGGCGGTGAGCAGCCCGGTCGGCACTCAGCACTTGGTCACCCCGGGGCGGCGACACCTTCAGTTTTGGGGCCTGCTTTTTGCCTCTTCTGTGCAGTGCAAGTTTTCTCCACACAGAGAAAATCGTGTCCGACAAAATGGGTCAGCTAGGAGTTTTCCAAAGTCCTGGGGCCTCTTCTCTCTCCATCTGTCCCATGGTCCCCGGGCTGACCTCCTCCTGTCCACACTTCCCACGCCCGACCCTGCTGTCCTCACATTTCCATCTGCAGCCGGATCTCCCCATCTCCACCCGAAAATGTAGTGAAAATCTTAAAACAGAATCCTCCCCCTCCTTCACCCCCCGCCCCGCCAGGCTCTGCTCTCGGTCCGGGAGGCCCCGCCCCATCCGCTCTGCCCTTCGTGGCGCTCAGCGGGAACCGGGATTCTTCGCTTTTCCCCTGACTCATTCTTCGGTCGCCCGAGGGCGCTCGCGGCCGGCTCTGCGCGCACCCTGGGCTTCTGGGTTTCCGGGCGGAGCTGGGGGGCCGTGGGGCTGCCGGAGAATCCGCTTCCCCAGGGCCTGCGCCCTCGGACTGCGGACGGGCCGTCTCCAGACCGCCGCGCGCCGAGGCCTGGGGTCCCACGCAGCCGCGGAAGGATGGATCCCAGGAGGTGCAGACCCCCCGCGGCCCTTCCCTGTCCCCCCCTGCCCCCCCCCGGGCCCTCAGTGAGGGACTTCCTAGTGAAGAACCCGTTCCGCAGACCCCACCAGGCTGCGCATGAGGGCGGCCAGCGACCGCTCCCCGTAGTGCAGCCCCTCCCAGCTCTGACGCTGCCTGGGCCCGGTCACAGCCCCGGAGTTTGGACTCCCAGCCCTACCTGGCCCTAGGCCGCTGCCCTAACCCTGCCCTCGCCAAGTGCCCAGGGTCAGGACTTCCTTCCCGGGGTGTCATGGCCACCCCATTGCCACCAGCCGGGGCCAACGTGGGTCCAGATAAATTCGCCCCAACGCTCCCCACTCAGCCCTGGGAACGTGTCCTGTCAGCCCGTTTCTGCCCCTCTCCCCGCACACTCTACTCCCTTCAACCCCTTCCTGGCCTGAGTCCCCGTCTCAGGGTGCCCCCAGGCCCCACGCCTGGCAGGAAGTTCCTTGCCCGCGCCCCCAGAGAGCTGTCCAGGCTTGAGGTTGACTTGGCAAGGGAGGAACTTCTGGGGCTGTTTCCCCATTTCCACAGTGTGGGTGCCAGTGCGGGGTTCTTGGGGAGACAGAGCCCCAGGCGCGCCCGCAGCAGCTGGCTCAGTGGGCTCCAGGGCCCAGCAAATGTAGGCAGCAAATGTGGCCTGGTTCGTGGCTCAGGGTCGGCGTGGGGTTGGCAGGGCTGAAATCCTGAGTGTGACCCCAGCCCATCCTGCCCCACCCGGGTGCTCGAGGGCGCAGGGATGGGAGGGCGTTTTCCCTCCCCCCTCCTCCATCTTCTGGACCCTCCCCAGCGTCCTGGACCCAGCGACTCTGGGAAGGAGATGCCATGCTGCAGGGCGTGTGGCTGACACCTGCCCCACTGGGGCGCAGCTACAAATTGGGAGACTAAGGCAGGCGCCAGGTCCCGGTGTCCTCCGCCTGGCCTGGTCTCTGGGCGAGGAGCGCCGAGGCCACGCTCAGAACCTTCTCCGCCACCCAGAGGGCACACCCCCGTGCCCTTTGGCTTTGCTTCGGACACTTCAGGGGTTAAAACGATCGGTTTGAATCTCTGCGGGACGGCTGTGGTCTGAACGTCTCTGTAACCAGGGGGATTTCCAGGAGTCGGACCGCACGCGTCCCACGTGGCTCCTGGACAGTGCGGCGGGGCCGCAGGCCGTGGGCGCGTCTGCGGGGCTGACCGTCTGCGCCTGTCCGCGCCCAGGAATGCGACAGGAAGTTCAGATGCAAACGCTCTGGGGCTGTGCAGTTCCCGAATTTGGAAACTTTCTGGGTAAAAATAACGTGTCCCAACTCACTGCGTGATGCCGGGGGTTGACTGGAGGAAGTGGTGAGCGAGGGGTGGGAGGAAGAGGCCCGGGGAAGTCGAGATTTCACCAGCCCGCTCTGCCCCCAGGGGTTGCGGGGTGGGGCCTGCCATCGCCCTCCGGGGGCGGCCGCAGAGCCCCAGGCCCCAAACATCCACCGGAAACACTTTGGAAAACACAGAAACCTACTTTAAACAGCTAAAATCCCTCTGACCCCCTTGCCCAGAGGTGCTTGGCCATGAACGTCAGTTCCTCCCAGCGCCTTTCCCCCACCTGTCTGGGTCTTGCCACCTTTTTAAAAACGTGAAATTTTCATGTTGCTCAGGCGTGAGAAGGGGTAGGTCTCCCTGGAGCCCACCCAGCACACAGCCCTGGGTCTCAGTCCGGCCCCCCCATCCTACCCATGTGAGCTTCAGTGGGCAATTCCGAGGGTGGCCAGGGTCACACCCAGATTAGGGCACATGTTCCAACGCCCCCCCCAACCTGAGCCTCACCCCAGCTTAGGCGGCTCCTGGGTGCTCCGCCACGGGAATGGGATTTTCCTCTCCTACCCCTCTGCTGGATCTTATTCACCAGCCCTAGTGGGCTGGGCCCTGGGCGCTGGGCCCTGACCCCCGCCCCACCTCCCCCTTTCCAGGCTCTTCATCTCAGCACCCCGAGAGGCGGACCCATCACCCCCACCTTTCAGGAACTGGGCTGAGGCCTCGCAGCCACCTGCCCAGCGGGGGACCTGGAACTGCCGTCTGGGCTTCCCAGAGCCCAGTGGCCCAGCCCTGCTCACTTGCCTGCTCCTCGGCGGGCCAGAAGCAAGACTGACCACGGGGCCCCACGCTGGAAAGGTGCTGCTGTTCTCTTGAGAGAGAAAACAGGAAGAAGAGGACGGAAAAGGCTGCCCCTAGCCTGCAAGGGCTTCCCAGGTGAAGGAGGGCGAGATTTTCCTGGATAGCTCCTTGGGGGAGAGCTCTCGGCTGGGACCCCGATCCAAGGCGGGGGACGGGAAGCAGGTGGGCAGAGCTGGAGCACTTCACGGGAGACCGGGAAAGGAGGCCCCTGGCCCCAGCTGGCTGCCCACGAGGGTGATGTGGACCCAGGGGGACAGGCACGGGAACACTGACCTCTGGGGCTTGGGGGGGTGCTGGTGGGGAATTGGGGAGCAGAATAAAATGCCTGGATCTCCTCCGCGGAGGAGGAGTAGTCTTGAAACTGGTGTGGGAGGCCAAGAGAGAAGCTTTTGGAGAGAGAAAAAAGGCCCCTAGGGTTGACTTCAGCTTCATGGGATCCTGGTTCTGTCCTGGGCCCTGAGGTCCTCCAGTCCTTCTTCCCCAGCACCGAGTGCCTTCCTAGTGCAGACCCAGCAGCCCCGGGGCTCAAAGTCTGCTCGGGGCTCCGGACCCAGCATCCCATCAGACCCCCTGGAGCGAGTGAAACAGACACTCGAGCCCCGCCCCCATCAGGATTGAGATCCACGGGCTGGGTGTGGGCCCCGGGTGTGCGTTCCTCACACGGACCCTGCCCAGCACTTAGGCCGGGATTTCCAGGTTCCTGTGTGTACTTCCTCCTCTCCCACCCAGCGGCCTCCCCAGGGAGCCACTGGTATGGAGCAGGGCTCTGCCTGCTCTGAGCCCAGCTAA